TGGATGCTGTGCTATGTTCTAGTCTGCTCTGCTATGTTATGCTAGGCTATGCTGCGCTATGCGATGCTGCGCTATGCTATGCTATGCTATGCTATGTGTTTGCTTTGCCTTCGTTTTTGCCTTCACTGTTGCCTTTGCTTTTGCTTTTGCTGAGCACCCAGGGAGCGCAACCAGGGGAACCGCCCGGGGCGCTGTTTCCACTGCTCGGCCCTTTAAGCAAACAGAGTAAGAACCCTTCCAGGCAGAGCCGAGGTAGGGAAAAACCAAATAACCAAAAATACACGATCGCTCCTTGAATCCTAAACCCCAAAACAGGGGGAAAAAAAAGCGTTTCCTTGCGGGGAGAAGGAGGAGGTGCCGGGGGGGAGGCCGCGGGGAGCACTTGAGCTTCCACCCCCCCCCCCCCCCCAAAAAAAAGTGTGTGTCCTTGCATCCTAGACCAAAAAAACATATATCTATATATACATATATATACATATATATATATATATATAAAAAAAATATCTATACAAATATACAGTGGGAAGCAGATGAGGGGGAGGGGAGGATGGAAGACGAGCAGTGAAAGATGAATATGACGATGACGGACGTGAATACGAGTCAAGATAAAATGTATGTTTTTGGGGGCGGCAACCATCTACATATTTATATATATATATATATATATATCAGAGTGTGTAAATATATATATATATATATGTATATATATATATGTATGTAGCTGTAAATCTATGTACAAAGAGAATTCGATACAAGAAAATGCGGTGCGATGTGTGTTGTGCCGCTCAATGCTGCCGACGCATAAATTGTCAATTCCAGCAATCGCGCAATCATTCCACCCTCCCACCCGCAAGTTGTTTTACAAAACCCGTGCGGCCGCGATTACAAGCATTAAGATTACGTTAGCGACCGCGCTGATGCTGGTGACGACGATGACGACGATGATCTCCTTGCGCCGGTGATACAAATGTTTGGGTGGTGATGGCGGCAATGGCGGCGACTGTCGATGAGCTATGTATAAATGTAGATATGTTAACCATATGTTTTAAACGAACAACTTTTTCTTACAACAAAACCTTTTCTGCATAGCTTTAGGGAACACATTGTGTGGGATTGATTTTGGCATGCGGTCGTGGCCGCGCGCGCGTGTGGACCGCATAGTGTTACTTGATGCGGGTCTGTGCAGTCGGCGCATGGTGGGTCAACGCGGATGCACCGCGTGGGGTAATGAGAATGCACGTGTTGGACAAGATCGCAAATATCAGATGGTGTTCCTATGATTTCAGCCACTGCGCACGGGCAGGAAGTTCATTGGATTTGCAATGAAAAACGAAAGCGGATTTATGTCTGTATGGTAAAGTGCGTGCAGAATTTGCATATTTGGTATGAGTTCGGCATGAGTTCGACATGCGCGCGCGTCTGAACTCCCGTGCCGTTTGGTGCAAAATTACGTTTTGAAAATGATTGGCTGAGATAGACGAGTGCGCGCGCATAGTATTACTTGACAGGAAAATTGTGTGCGATAACTGGTCGGCAGGGATGATGGAAAGTCATATGGAACCTGAGCGAGGAGGCACAAATCATATGTAATTTGCCGTAGCCAGGGGGGGGTCCTATAACCCAAAAGGGGTGTGGGTAGTGGAGTCTGTTTTTTCCGAAAGGAGACTTAGCTTCGACCGTCCTAAAGTCCTGAATGCCATTGCTCGTGCAAGCATCCCGCCCACCCACAAGCTATCCGGTAAAACCCATTCGGTCACGATTACGGTTCTGGATTGGAACGTGCCAGCGCGTCTTTGCGGCCGCACTGGCGCGCGCACGCTCCTGCGCAGATCGACCAGCTGTTTTGACACAATTGATGCGGCCACGATGACGCTTACCGATGGGAGCTCCCTAGCGCGTCTGAAAGGCCGCGGTGGCGAGCGGGCACTTCAACGCGCGTCCGTGATTCGGGCGGGCGCGATAGCATGATGACGTCGACAACGGCGGCAACGATGATGATAGAACCGATGGTGTTGGCGATGATAAGAATGGCAAGGCCAATGGCGGTACCGATGTTGGCGACGACTATGAGGACGATGATGTCCACGTGGTGATTATGATGATGACGATAATGATGACGATGGTAACGATCATGGTGATGATGATGTTGATGATGATGATGATGTTGAGGATGATGAGGATGATGTTGTTGATGATGATGATGACGGCGGCAATGGCGGCGATTGGCGGTTACGATAACGGCGTTGATGCAGTGGCGTTGGCGAGGGTGTTAGGGGAAGTACGCGCGCATAAATTCCGAGAGTATGGCCAGGCTCTTTTTGAAAACCATTGGTTCTCCGATTCGTCGTTTACATATATGGTTGTGTATGTGTATGCTCATGTATATATACACACCGATTGAAAAGCTCTCGCTTGAGCCGCTTTTAGAAAATGCGTTTTGGAAACAGTTCGACACGCGCGCGTGGCGGCGCGCACATGTGGCCCGCACGGTATTTCGTTATACGGGTTTGTGCATTGGGCGCATGTTGACCAACGCGGGTGCACCGTTTGGCGGGATGGGGATGCGGGGTACCGGCGAGATTGCTAACATCATGTGGGTTGTTCGGTTTCACCAAGCGCGCGGGCTAACAATCTGCCAAGTTTTGCATTGAAAATCAGTGTGGTTGAAATGGCATCTGTATTGAAACACACGCAGCATTTGCTATGAATTCGACATGTGCGCGCGCGTGGAAAGTTTGTTGCATGTTCTGCAAAAGGCGATTGAAAAATGATGTGCTAAACGAGTTCGCGCGCATGCTTTTATATGACAGGGATGACGGGGGGTCGATACGAGCCTGGCTGGGATGGCATGGTCCCATATGGAAAAATGAGCGGCGATGCAGAATCACACGTAAGTTGCAATACCCCGCGAGATGCGGAGAACCCCAGTATCGGGATGTTGGTAGCGCTTGGTTCTTTTTGAAAATAGAATCCATCAATGCTCGTCGTCAGTTTTGATGTTTGAGCAAATACCCCGTCCTTCCGCAACTCGTTGGCAAGACTCGATTGACGTGTTGACGCGAAGACCTTTCTTATGCAGATCTTGGAATCAGGTGGGCAAGTGATGATGATGATGATGATGGTGGCGCTGACGACGAGGGCGTCGACAACGATGATGAGAGAACGATGATGACGTTGATAATGCCGGCGGTGGGGATTACGATGATGTGATGGTGAGGAAGATAATTCAGTTGACTACGCCGGCGATGATGATGGCGCTTGTGTTGATGAGGTCGTTGAGGGAGTGCGCGCGCAGGAATTCGTACATGTTGTCAGGTCAGAACTTCCACTGGAAAACCGTTCATGGGTGTGCTTGAACACGTCTGTGATGAAATGTGTGGAAAACTTATCGCTTTGGAAAGATTTCGTCGTGCTTGCGCGGACACGCTCGCGTGTGGCCCGCATGGTATTGTTTGACAGATTTGCCGGGCGCGCGATGATTGTTGGATGATTTCGATTTGCGCGCGGTCCGCATTGTCTCTTTCGACAGAGTGTCAAAAGGCTACATTGCCCAATTAGGATTGCCTGAGGGTTCCTACTTGGTTAAAGGTTGGTGGCTCGGGGGGTTACTTTGCCCGCTGCTCGGAGATTCCCCGGGTTCCCTTCCTCGGGTTCCCCTCCCCCAGTGCCTCCTATTGTTAGGTTGCCCCTTTCTCGAAGGTTCCTCGGGTTCCCCGGGTTCCTCAGATTTCTCGCGTTCCTTGGGTTCCCCGGGTTCTTCGGGTTCCCCGGGTTCCTTTGGTTTCCCGGGTTCCCCAGGTTCCCCGTCCCCGGTGTTTCGAATTCTTATTCTGCCCGCTTCAAGCAACGCCAAGCAATGCGAAGCAACGTCAAGCAATGCCAAGCAATGCCAAGCATTGCCAAACATTACCAAGCAATGCCAAGCAATGCCAAGCACCGGGTTCTTCGGATTCCCCGGGTAATTACCCCGGGTTCTTTGGGTTCTTCGGGTTCCGCAGGTTCCCGCCCCCGGTACCATTGTGCCCGTTCCAAGCAGTGTTAAGCTTAAGCATTGCCCATGGAATAGAAAGTTTTCCCCTAATTGGGGTCGCGCCGGGCTCATGGCTTTAGTATGTTTTCAGCGAGTGCGCGCGCACAGAATTCTGGCATTCGATATCGGAGAGCAAATGGGGTCTTCTAGATTTTATTCACAGGTCATTGAACAGCAATGGCTTTGGACTGATTGTGAAATGTGCGTGCGCATATGGCCCACATGGTACTGTTTGATACGGAGTTTGACAAAAAGCATTTGTTACATTAACGCATGCAGATCGCATGGTGAATTTGGCAAGGACGAGGGGGCATCGATACTGGCCTTGAAGGCGGGTTACTGTGGTCATTGAAAGTGACGACTGTGCAGAAGAAATATAAGAAAAAACATGGCGGGGAGTGCAGAGCCCCAGCCTCGGCAGGGAGATTTTTTGGTGCAGGGCTGTGGGCGGTGCAAACGCCGGCCACCGCACAGGGCGGCCACGAGGCTGCCACAGGCAGCGACCGGCGGAGAATCTGCAGAAGCGGCCGCAAGGTGGCCGCGGGCGACGACCCGGCGAGAACCCAAGGAGCCCAGCCGGCGCTCGAGGCGGCCACGGGGCGGCAACGGGCGACGAGCGGGCGAACAAAGATTGAAAATCGCGGAGATCGGGAACCTGTTTGTTCCGTTACCACATTTCAGAAACAGAGCATGAAAACCTCCGAGATGTTTTTGAAAATCCCATGAGGTTAGCGTGTAGAATTGATGTAATCCCCGGGAACCCAATTAGTTGGTGCAAGTACGCTGTTTGGAGAAAATGTTCGGAGCTCCGAGGTCCGCGTGGATTTCTTGGTTCTGCGTTGGACCGCCCTCCCCTGGCGCGCGAAGCGCGTCAGGGGCGGCGCTGGAGCTGCAGGGGGGTCCAGCGCCGGCCCGAATACGCGCGGATATCCGAAAGATGTTGTTCATGTCGCGGTCTGTTCTTCTGGAGGAGTCCCTCGGCGAAATACGGCGCGTTGCCAAGCAGAACACCGAGATATACGAGGAGCTGTTCGAGGCGCTGCCCTCGGACCGCGTCCGCTCCTGGTCCGAGCTGTCCGCGCGCCGCTCGAAGGGCTATCAGGAGGAGACCGGCCATGCGCTGCCCGCCTCGCCGCGCCCGCCGATGCGCGACTACACGCGGATACCCAGCTTGTTGGAGGCCGAGAGGCTTTCAGAAGTGCAGGTCGCGAGCGACGAACATGTCCGTGTCCACGCCCTCGCAGTCAGGATGCCCAGGTGCCGTCCCATGGATGCGCAATCCCGTGGATGCGTTCCACGCGGGGCGTCCGCGCAGAGCCGCCCTGAGTCCATGGGGTTGCGGCCGAGGGTCCAGACCGCGAGGCCGTGGATACAGAAGTGCTCCCCGCCCACGAGCAGGGGCACATTGTGGAGTACCCGATCGATTTTCTCGTAGAGGAGGACTTGTCCCCAGGCACGCTGTCGGTGGGCGGACTGGCGCCCGATTGCTTCACGTGAGCCTCCCCAGAGCCTGACAACCAACCGCAGAAGGAATGGTAGGCCATGGGGCGCGGGGCGTGCTTATTCAAAGCGCCAGCGCTACAGCTTGGAGCACACGTTTTAGCTGCCGGCCCTTCTTTATTGAGCGGCATTTCCCATCTCCATATTTCTTCCTTGCGCTACAGCACGTCAGTTCTACAGCCACTGTGCTCCGTGCGCTACAGCACGACAGTACGACAGCTACTATGCTACAGTGCACGCGCATATCGCTGGGCGACTTGTGCATAATTCTCCTAGCGTCGAGCCAACCTGTACAGACCAAGCAGGCCGCAGCGTACAGCCCGGCGAACGTTGGTATGTCTTTCTGTTCCTCCTCCTTCGTCCTCCTCCTCCTCTTCCTCCTCCTCCTCCTCCTCCTCCTCCTCCCCTTCCTTCTCTTCATTATCCCCCTCCGCCTCTTCCTCTTCCTCCTCTTCCTCCTCCTCCTCCTCTTCCTGCTCCTCTTCCTTCTCCTCCTCCTCCTCCTCTTCTCCTGCTCCTTCACTTCATCTTCTTATTCCATGTGCCCCCTTGCTCAGAACGCTCCAACCCGTGCTCCCTCTCCTCCGCCGCCTCGTCATCTTCGTCTTCCTCCGAATTTTCACTGCCAGCATCGTCACTGTGCTTCCCACATTCAGGAAAGGACCAGCTCGCCGCCCCTCCCAGCTTGCAGTCGAGAGCGAATGTCATCTTGATTGGGTACTCCTGTGTGCTCGCAGCTGGAGGTAAAACTGGTGTGTTCTGTCTCTCTCTCTCTCTATCCCTCTCTTTCTCTCTCTCTCTCTCTTTCTCTTTTTTCGTTTCTTTCTCTCTCTCTCTCTCTCTCTCTTTCTCTCTCTCTCTCTCTCTCTTTCTCTCTCTCTCTCTCTCTCTCTCTCTCTCTCTCTCTCTCTCTCTCTTATGCGTATACATATGCGCAACTACATCTCTCTATATATATATATATATATATATATATGCACACACGCACGCACCCGCGCACGAGACCCTGGCGCCCGGGGCCGCGACCTGGAGCGGGCATAGGGGGATCGGGGCCTCCGAGACCGCTCCCAGAGCACCCCGGAGGGGCCGTGGAGCCCCCAGACTGCCCCAGCGAGCTCCAAGACGCTCCCAGAAGCCCCAGGGGAACTTCGACAAGCCCCTCCAAGACAGCCCAGATAGCCCCAACGTGGCCCCAGATGGGTTCCAGACCGAAAGCACATAGCCCAAGAGGCCTCCAAGAGGCCTCAAAAGACCTCCGAGAGGCGTCCCGAGAGAGCCCGAAGAGGCCCAAATCCTTGATTTTCATTAGTTTGTTTCAATGTTTTTCGGTGTCTCGCGTTTTCGACCCTCCGACGCTCCTCCACGACAGCCGACGACGCCGCAGAGGCCCCCAACAGAGCCCCAAGACTGCCCCAGGGAGCCCGAAAATTGCCCGGGACGAGCCTCAGACGGCCCAAGAGAGCCCCAGGACAGGCCTAAGTTGGGCCCCAGAGCGGGAGCGGGAGGCCCCCAGGCGCTCTAAGACGGCCAATACACAGCCCAAGAGCCCTCCAAGAGGACCCAAGAGAACTCCGAGAGGCGTCCCGAGAGAGCCCGAAGAGGCCCATATCCTTGATTTCCAGTCGTTGTTTCAAATGTTTTTCGCTTTCTCGCGTTCTCGAGCTTCTAACGCCCCAAGACGGCCGAAGACGCCCCGAATATCGCGCCAAGACCGCCGAAGAGGCCCCAAAACGGCCCCGGAGAGTTTGAAGACTGCCCAAGTGCAGCCCAAAACCGCCCAAGAGAATCCCAGGAGAGGCACAAGATGGGCCCCAGAGCGGGAGCGGGAAGCCCCAGGGCGCTACAGGACGGCCCAGATGATTCCGATGTGGCCCAAGAGGAGCTCAAGACGGCAAACACACAGCCAAAGAGGTCTCCAAGAGGCCCCCAAAAGCGGTCCGAGAGGCGTCCCGAGAGAGCCCGAAAAGGCCCAAATCAATGAGTTTCGGTTGTGTTTGTCGCTTTCTCGCGTTCTCGAGCTTCCAACGCTCCAAGGCGGCCGAAGACGCCCCGAAGATCGCCCCAAGACCGCCGAAGAGGCCCTGAAAAGAGCCAAGAGCAGCCCAAAATTGCCCAAGAGAATCCCAGGAGAGGCACAAGATGGGCCCCAGAGCGGGAGCGGGAGGCCCCAAGAAGCCCCAGGACGGCCCAGATCATCCCGCCGTGGCCCAAGAGGAGCTCAAGACGGCAAACACACAGCCCAAGAGGCCTCCAAGAGGGCTCAAGCGAGCTCCGAGAGACGTCCCGAGAGAGCCCAAAGAGGCCCAAATCATTGATTTGTATTGGTTTGTTCGATGTGTTTCGCTTTCTCGCTTTCTCGAGCTTCCAATGCTCGAAGACGGCCACAGACGCCGCCAAGACCGCCCCAAGACCGCCGAAGAGGCACACAAAAGACCTACAAGACGGCCCCAGGGAGCCCGAAAATGGCCCAGGAGGAGCCCCAGACGGCCCAAGAGAGCCCCAGGACAGGCCCAAGCTGGGCCACAGAGCGGGAACGGGAGACCCCAAGGCGCTCCAAGTCGCCCCAGCTGGGCCCACGGCAAACACACAGGCCAAGAGGCCCCAAGAGGCTCCAAGAAAGCTACGAGAAGCGTTTTTGTTGTGGCTGCTGGCGACAAGCTGCACGATGCTTCGACGCCCTCGGCAGGAGGCAGAGAAAATAGTCTAGAGTGAAGAAGAAGCCGGCCAAGAATCGCCTAGGGCGAAGCCCGGCCGGAGTCACCGCACATGGGAAAGCCCAAGAACACTAATATATATATATATATATATATATGTATATATATACATATATATATATATATATATATATATATATATATATATCCTGCTCGAAACCGAGTCCGGCGAGGAGGGGGAGGTGAGGTGGGGGGCGAGGCCTGCGCCGGGGCCTCTCCGGCAGGGATTCCACCCTCCGCCGCGAGCGGCGGCCGGGCGACGGGGGAACGGGAGACAAGTCCCGCGCGCGGCTCTGAGGAGTGCAAGGCGCACCGACCACAGCACCACCACAACCGCGGGGCGGGGGCGGATGGGGGTCGTCGAAGTCGTCATCGTCGGCGGAGTCGGGCTCCGCATCGTCCGCCTCGGCCGCGGCGCCCACCTGAGCTGGGTCAGGAAGGGGGCTGGGGGGATAGGAGGTGCGGGCCGCCGCCTCGGGAGCGGAGCGCCGTCCGTGCCGGCCGCCGCCAGCCGCCTGGTCGCAGGCCTTCTTGGGGCTGGCGCCGCGAAGGCGTCCCGGGGCAGGGCCTCGAGGATGCGGATTCCGAGCCTGCAGGACATCACCTGCCGCCGAGCCCGGGCCTCAGTGGTGGGGCCGGCGATCGTGGTGATCCAGCCACTCTTGGACGTGACCTTGGGCTGGGCAGCCCACCAAGCCTCGGTGATCCCATACTCCGAACCAAGGCCGGCGCGGTCGGGAGCGAAGCGGGGGCATTCGGCCCAGAAGTGCCGGGCCGAGGCCGCGGCGTGCCCGCAGAACGGACAGGGGGCCCGACCGTGGGCCCGGCGCGTCGGGGTGCTGGATGCCCCACCGCGCCACACCGACAGAAGGCTGAGCTGGTCCTTAGTGAGGCTGTCGCGCCACGAGCTCCACGGGAGCCGGGACGAAGCCTCGATGTCGATGTGGTTCATCCCCTCCTCGTCGTTCCGCTGCGCCTGCCGCCGCACCTGAAGCAGCCGAGCGCGCGCGCACACCCGGAGAGCGTATTGCCCCCGAGGAGAGAAGGCATCGAAGTAGGGCGGGAGGGCGGAGGAGGCCACGATCTCGGCCACGGCGGCCGCGGCCCGCGGGTCGAGAGCAGGCCCGGCGCGGACCCAGACAGGCAGGAGCCCAGGCGAATCCGGGTGGGAGATCAGCCCGAAAGTGGCCGCGTGATGGGTCACGCACGCCAAAGGGGCGACCGAGGGAAGCGAGCGGCCAGGCGGAGGGCAGGGAGAGAGGTGCCGAAGATGGGGTGGAGCTCCAGGCGCTCGGCCCACCAGCGCCGTTGGTCCCACCAAGTGCACCGAGTACGAGCGACGCACCAGAAAGTGAGCTTGACCAAGGAGGGCGGGGGGCACTCCACGAAAGGGACGGCCCACCTGCACTTCGAAGCCACGGACATGACAGCCGTCAGGGCGCGGATGCCCGAACTGCCGGGGATGTGCAGCAACTTACGGGTGGAATCTTCGATGATCCCCCAACCGTCACGAGGGCCCGGGACCGGAGGGGACACCAGGTGGCTCCCGGGGCAGGCCCGGATACCCAAGTGCTCCGCGCGGACTTCCCAAAGCTGCCGTTTGCCGGCGTTCTCCTGGAGACCGAACCGGCCATCAAGGGTGGCCGTCACAGCCAAGGCCTCGGAGCGGGCCTCCACGCTAGCGCTTTTCAGACTCCGGTCGTCGACGTGCGACCAAGACTGGACCTCGGCAAACGAGCGCATGGTGACGTGCCAGGGAAGCAAAGCTGCTCCCAGGACCCTGCCCGAGCAAGGGCACCCAGCGGGGATGCCGGCAGTGGGGTAGATGGAAGGAGCCGAGGCTCCAGCGACGCAGCAGACGCGGGGAGCAACCCAAGTGTGCCGGAGCCACCGGGCGATCGGCGGAGGCGTGCCCAGAAGAGCAAAGCTTCAACAGCAACCGAGTGCGACACCGAATCGTACGCCTTAGTGAGATCGATCTCGGCCCCGGCACGGCCCGAGGCGGCTGCCCAGTCCGCCGCGGACGCGACGGCACCCCGCTCGCCGAAGGCCTCGGGGGGAGGCGGAGGCAGATCGGGGAGGAGGGCCGAGTGCCAGGCCCGCAGCCAGACCGGTGCCACGGCCACTGGCCGCGAGTCGTCGGAGCCGCGCTTCGGGATACCAGCGACCGTAACCGAAGCGAAGGCGGCCAGGCGCTCTGCCGGCCATTCCTGGTCATCCATTATCATTTCGGTGAGGATACCGTGCAGCTCGGCGATCAACCAGGGCATGTGCTTGACCATAAACCTGAGTTCCGAGAGAGCCCGAGAGAGCCCGAAGAGGCCCAAATCCTTGATGTTCCGTCGTCTTTCAATGTGGGTTGCCTCTTGGGGCCCTCTTGGGGGTCCTCTCGGAGCTCTCTTGGGGCATCTTGGCGGCCTCTCGGGCCATCTTGGAGCCGTCTGCGGCCCATCTTGGGGCCAGCTGTGCCTGGCTGGACCCGGCCTGGAGCCACTTTGAGCCAAATGGGGGCCATCCGTGAGCCCACAAAAGACATTGGGGTGCTGGGGCTCTCTTGGGCCGAATTGGGCCCCTCCTGGGCAATTTCAGTCAGCCCGCAACTGAAGGACGCACGATAAGGAGGCAAGGGCCTTTGAAGGCCATTTGGAAGCTTTCCGAGCGGGGCGCGGTCAATGAAAG